GCTTTAGCCTGTTCACATGTCTCATTCTTAACTACCCATTCAATCGCAACATCTGATGTATCTTCTCCATCTGCCATGCGACTGAGCGGCCAATCTGAAAGATGAAAGGAGCGCGTATCCGCTAAAAATGCAAATCCACAGGGATTGAAATCCGAAACATTCGAGTGGTTGAAAAAACTATAAGATGAAATATCAAGTGACTTGAGGCCCATGGGAATCGAGGTTTGGCAGCATCCAGAACCTGAGCAAGTATTTGCATCTGTCATGTTCACATATTTTGTGCATAGGGATAGACAGGCAGCTCCATATGTAAACTCTTCGTTGGTCACCTGGGCAGCCGTATCACAGCCGATAGCTGTGAATATGTTTATGGTGTCTGAGAACGTAAAAGGGCCTGGTCCAAGTTTCATTGACTGATCGAAAATGCGATTTTCATTCCCCAATTTGTCATAACAGTCATATGCCGTACTAATGCTTACAGTCACTGTGCCCTCCAGCAGCGATATTTTACGAGCAGTCATGTTGCTTCTAAACCACAGTTCAGCACCACCCTCATTTGAACTGCAATTCAGAAAGAAATGCTCATCCATGGCACAGTCAGGTTTCCCAATCCCAAAGGGGTAAGGAACACTAACATTCCCACATTTTTCTTGGCACCCAGGTTTCACATCTTGGCTTGAAGATTCAGTTGTCATAAGCCAGAACATTACCAACATCATGAGCAAAGACACCCTCATCTGGAGAGTCGTTTTCTCACACTCCCCAAGTTAACTAATTGCCATTTAAACAAGAAATGAATATATAATAGGAATTTTCTATGAACAGCTGTTTTCTTAGGGCACACTGTCTGATGATGAAGCCTTGATGACAGAATGCGGCAACCTTTGTTGCACATCCCTTTATAAAATTTCACAAGCATTACCGACCGGCTGTTTATAAAAACAAGAAACTCAACCATCCTATAAGAAATTATGCTATTAATCAAATAACTAGCCAAAAATGCGACAAGACTCACATATTTCTTATCGAAAAAACAACATCGTATTACTAGAGGTAACTCATCCAAGAATACATATATCAACATCAACCATTGTATGAAACTACATTGAATTCCTCGCCTAAACATACATCCAAAACTCGTCATCATCGATCATCAAACAAAGTAATTACATATAAATTAACTCAATATCAAAAAATATATAAATCTGTAGTTTCAACCAAATCATACTTTATTTTGTCCCAATCTTTACAACAACACAATGAACTTCTTGGAAGATCATTAGAATAAAAGACTATCATCTATCGTTAATTTAAGTCATAGAATCCAAGGACTTGTTGAAGAGACTAGCTAAATATATAAATATTACGTGGTGATGTATATACATGTACTCTGTACTGTACTGATTATACACCAGAGATTAGATAAGTGGACAGGTTTTTGCAGGCGGTGTGGGTCTTGATTTACAGGGTCGTTGACAGTTTTCAAAAACATGGGACACTAATGCTATCAACGGTGGGCTGGTAGCACTATTGAGTATCAACTGCGGCGAACATGAATTATTTTTCTTTGATGTAGTCCGTCAAGCATGGTGGAGGGATTGAATCTTTGTCAACGAAGCAAGTGTTCCATAGGGATCCTATTCTCATTCATTAATTAGCTGCAAATTGTGTTGGTGCGGGAAAGATGGAGAAAAATAATGATGCGAGGTTTGTGGGGAATAAAGGTATGAAGATGATGCTAAAAACGCACCTGAAAATATTTTTTTTAATGAACTGGACTTGAATAAATGTATGGATGAAAGGCAGCTGAATGGCCTATACATAGATAAGGAAACAGCTGGTTAAACGCAAGAGGTAAAAGGATAAGTGATAAGGTAGTTTGCAAATAAAATAAAAAAAATATTTATCTCACATTATAATATTAGAATATTAGAATTAGACTTTTAATGTTTTTAATGTTTTCAAGTATGAATTTTTATTGTATAAAAAATTAAATTATAGTTGATAAATTTTTTATTTAACTTTCTAATGTTATTATATAAATATTTATAATGTTAAAACATAAAATATTTTTAACTTGAAATTTAATATTAATAGTTATATTATTTCATGAATAGTCATACTGTTTAATGAAAAATTATATTATTTTATTAATAATGATATTATTTAATGAACAGTTATAATATATTATTAATAATTATATTATTTGATGAACAATTATATTATTTTAAGTTTATAAAAGTATGTTATTATAAAAAATATATATATATAATTTTTTTAATTTTATTTTTTTAAGGAATTTAATTATATCCTAAAAATATTATCTGTATTATCTGTATGTGGAATAAATAAATACTTTAAAAATAATATTTTTGCATTTCTAAACCAACTTAAAATTTATTTCCATCCTAGATATTTTTAACACTGTGTATTCTAGGTGTGCTATTACCTGGATTTGGAAGGGAATGTGATTGTGCAGGGATGCAATATTTTGTCCCGCTTGACACATAGCAATCCTGGGATCGCCGGCAGGAAGTGAATCATGGGCTAAAATGCTGGTGTGAAAAGCAAAAGTGTGGAATGAAGCAGATGTGAAAAAAGGACCCCTTGTCTGAGGACTTTCAGGCCTGTGAGATGGCAGGTGGTGATGCCATGGCCTGTTTTGTACATGGAGGGGAGAGAATGGCCGAGGCGGGATTGGTATTT